GTTTTTGCTATAGGGCACATGCACTTGACAGAAAAAGAGAGACAGAAAGGCAGAAAGTGAGAAATCACTCCCAGGGGGGTGGCCACACCACAATCCCTTCTCCTCCATTCTCCTCTCGGGATCTTGGGCACGCACGCACACGCACCTGGCATGAGTTTAAGCCACTGGGTCCAGAGTCCAACGACATAGCCATTATACCATCTACTGGTCCCAAGCTATTCTAGTTTTTAATTCAAAGACTACTTATGTTTAAGTTAACCATTTTGACCTGTGTGTTTGTGTGGAGGAGGGCGAGTGGTGGTTCAGGACTCAGGACTTCCAGTTCTTTTTTTTTTTTTCTTTTTAATTATTTTAATTAATTTATTTATTTTGGAGAGGTTTTTGCTATAGGGGTGCATGAGCTCGCCAGAAAGACAGAGACAGAGAGACAGAAAGTGAGAAATCATCCTCCTGGGGGCTGACCACGCTGCAATCCCTTCTCCTCCATTCTCCTCTTGGGAATCTTGGGCATGCACACACACATGCCCGGCATGAGTTTAAGCTATTGGGCCCGGGACTTGAACCACAGTCAACTACATGGGAATCCATCGACAACCATCACACCAACTGCTAGTCCCTTAAAGAATTATTTTATTTAACTTTATTTACTTTTTAATTTGACCAGAGAGGATCAGAGTGGCAGTGAGAGAAAGAGGGAAAGTGAGAAAGCAAGCTGCTAGGTCCAGGACTCAAACCATGGTCGGCCATGTGAGAGTCTAGCGCCTTTAACCACTACACCACCTCCCAGCCCCAAGGACTTTCCGTTTTAAAGCTGACAAGTTCTGGAAAAAACAGGACAAATTGGTCACTACAGCACATACTTTCTTTGTAAATTATAGTTGGGTTTTGAAGAACATTATCTTTCGAAAGATTTCTATGACCATATTTAATCTGAAATTGTTTTACTAAACAGTATCAGTGTATTTTCCATTTATGATAAAATTCGTGGCTGCAACTTTTCAGGTAAATTGCTGGAAGTGAGCCGAACATGCGTTCTTGTGCGATGTCTGAGTCCGTTCACTGTCTTGGGACGCTGAAGCAGGAAAAAGTTGGACAGGAAGAAATGACGTAGAAATGCTTATTTGGAAATTTTGCAAAAAAGAGAACGGAAAAATACATCACAGTGAAAAATGGGGCTGTTTGAATCTGGATCCTATTTTTTTTTTTTTTTTAAAGGCTTACACATTTAAAATGCTAATTTCTTGTTTTCCTGTCCTTTCTATCCTTCCTGCATACTGCTCTCCTGAGAATATTACGAAGAGAGTATTTTATTGCTTTGTAGAAGGGAATCTTCAAAAAGCTCATAAAAAGGGAACCAGCAGTTAGCGTAATGGCTATGTCGCTGGACTCCCACGTAGTCGACCGTGGTTCACGTCCTGGACCCGGTGGCTTAAAACTCACGCCGGGCGCGTGTGCGTGCGTGCCCAAGATCCTGAGAGGAGAATGGAGGAGAAGGCATTGCGGTGTGACCATCCCCTCTGGGGGGTGATTTCTCGCTTTCTGTTTCTCTGTCTCTGTCTGTCTGTCTGGCGAGCGCATGCGCCCTATAGCGAAAACCTCTCCAAAAAAAAAAAAAGTTCATTAAAAAAAGACATATTATGAAAAAGCTATGCATAGTCATTCCCTTTTCTTTTTCTTCTTTCTTTTTTTTTCATCAGAATAAACTGTACCGGGCTGGCCCTGTAATACAGTGATTAAGGGGGGCCGGCAGGTAGTGTGGTTAAAGTGCTAGGTTCCCACATGGCCGACTGTAGTTCAAATCCTGGACCTGGCGGCTTGGTTTCTCGCTCTCTGTTTCTCTATCTCTCTGTCTCTCTTTGGTCAAATTAAAATATAATAACAACAAATGGAACGAAATAAATAATTCTTAAAAAAAAATACAGTGATTAAGGCAGCCGGATCCCACCTGGCTGATAGCAGTTTGAATGCCAGCCCTGTGGCTTGAAAAGCACACTGCACCCCTGCACATGTGTGCCCAAAATCCTGACAGGAAGGAGAAACAGAGGAAAAGAGATTGTGGTGTGACCACATCCCATTGGGGTGTCTTCTCTCTCTCTCTGTCTCTGCTAAACACGTGTGGCCTCTGGCAACTAAAAAAAAAAGGAAAGGTGTCAGCAGATGGCATGATAGTTCAGGCACTGGACTCCCACATGGCTGATAGCAGTTTAAGTCCCAGACCTGGTGGCTTGAAAATCACACCAGGCGTGTGTGCGTGTGTGCCCAAAATCCCAAGAAGAGAATGGAGCAGA